AGGCAGCATAGTTATAGGAATATTGCTGCTATGTGCTGCAATAGGATCGATCATAGGCGATATTAAAGTCGGATGTAGGTTGAATATTTCCTTTACCAAAGCTTCCTCCCATCAAAACTATTTTCATGAGCTTTTGGGTACCTTCAATGTTGTCAGCTTGCGAGAGGATTTACTACTTGGACTTAAAATTCGATAAACATGCTAATATTCGAAAGAGGTCCTATGCATACAATATAAACAGGATGTTCTTTGGTTGCATGCTTTTCAACAGATTCTGTCATTAGAAATACAGTGAAAACGTTTGAAAAACAAAGAGTCGACCTTTGATCACTGGAACTTGAACAAATTACAGCACAATCTAACGGGCCGTGACGACTTGCAAATACCTGGCAAAAGTTAGAACTTTTGGGTCTGCCCAGAAACTCTCTAAAACTTTGAAAGAACAGTAGTTCATACTGGAATTCTTATCATTTTCAATCAACTTTTCCTTTTCCAGGAAATTTGTTTAAGAAAAAGAACATAGACAGCGATATGCACAGTTGCTCGGACTAAGAATACTCAAGGAAAATGTACTTCATCGTTAATAATTTTGGCGCCCAAAATATATAAACACTTTTTTCTCTGGACTCTTTATCGCAATGTTCATTTCCATTTCATGCGTGGCAACAAGTATAAAATACTAAAAAAGCTAGGAAAAGGTTCCCATGGTACGGTGGTGTTGGCAGAAGATCAAGAAACACTTCAAATGGTTTGTTAAGATACGAAAAATGAACTAAACTGTTCTGAAAAAGGTGCAAGGTTGCTATAAAGAGAATACGTCAGCAGTTTTGCTCATATGAAGAAAGCTTGTCATCAAGAGAACTCCAGGTAGGCAGTCGTATACAATTAACATATAAAGGCACAACCCCTTTGTACTTCTACAAGAATTGTTACAAAGTCTCTAAACTTTTCTATTTTGTCTACCTAGATTCTCAGAGAACTTCATCATCCAAATATAATAGCACTACTGGATGCATTTTATGAAGACGGCAGATTGTATCTTGTCCTCGAATATCTTGAAAGTAACCTGTGCGACTTACTAAAGAAAGAAAATCGAAGATTACTTTCACATGGCACTTCCAATAGGACACAAGGCATGAGGGAAGACGAGATACGACTCATCACATCAGCATTATTACAAGGACTATCCTATATCCACAAACAAGGGTTTGTACACAGGGACCTAAAACCTGAAAATATCTTATGTTCTAAAACTGGAGCATATGGACCCGTAAAAATTGCGGATTTTAGTCTAGCTACACAGTACTGTACTGATGAGAGACATTCACCAATCAGAGCAATGACGGGATACGTAGCTACTCGTTGGTATCGTGCACCTGAGCTTTTACTGCTTAATTCTCCAATAACTGCTGCAGTGCCAGGTGGAAGGCTTGACACAAAAGGACTTCAAGAAATGAATAGATTTGCGCCATCTGCAGATATGTGGTCGCTAGGTGTCATCTTTGCGGAGCTGCTTCTGGGATATCCTATCTTTCCTGGTAAAACTGAAGAACAACAACTTCGTCTGATTGCACAAGTACTAGGAACACCGCCTATTCCCGAGGAAATTTTTCATGAAGCCAACAAAAGAATAATTAAGAGTTTCAACAAACAATTATTCGGAAGTTCACTAAAACCTCCACCACGAGTTCCGTTCCGGTATCGGGTCCAGAGTCTAATGAAGGTACTTCTGCCTCCTACAGCACCGCAACCACTCCAACAACTCTTTCCTGATACAAGTCCAGAAGCAATTCAAATTGTATCAGATTTATTAGTATACGATCCTGCGATAAGACCCAGTGCCTCTGAAATACAGCGCTATGAATTTTTCGACAGATTGAGAACTGAGGCCCATTTCATGGAAAGTAAAGAACTGCTATATAACGTACAAAACCAAAATATGAGATTTTCTCTGGGTTTTTTTCGACCATTATTACCGTCAGATGAGGTTCCATATTTAAACTCACAAGATCTACGTGACCCATGTGAGGACGAATGTTACTCCAATGTAATGCATGAAGATTCAAAACCAAGCGTTGAGTCAAAAAAGTTAGTTGGACGGTACCCAAACATTTCCTTTAAGTTTTCATTAAGACCTTGATACAAAAATTATAAAGCCATTCCAAAAAATCTCTTCCGCAAGTTATACAAAGAAACATATTTCCGTTTTACAGGTATCATCAATACAGACAATGTCACCATTGCTTCAACTTTAAATGGTCATTCCTATAAACTACATGGATTCCATCAACAAGAAGGTTTGCAGGAATGGAGGAAATCTTATCATTTCAGGAACTATTGAAATAAGATTTCATCAAAGTCACAAATGCACGCTTAACATATATACATATATTTCCATGAAGACAGAAAAATTGCAGTTGATTAGGGATTTGAGTTAGTCTATCTCGAGTTAAACATCATAACATCATATTCGTGGTTTCTTCAGCTTCCCATTGTGGGCCGGGTTTTTCTTCAAAGACTGCTCTTGTCTTTCAATACAAAAATTGACATGCCTCTCTAACAAAGAATAATTAGAAGAACGAAAGTTTAAACAAATAGGACAAACACCAGTGGAAGAAACTTCAGGCTCCTTTTCATCTTGCTGTTTGTTCTTTATGAAATGCATAGGTTCCGCGGGGGATAAGGTGCCAAAGTCCTTCACTTCCTCATAAATGTCATCGGAATTGTTTCCTCTATGTTTCAACATGTTGGATATAAATTCCTCCAAACTATTCCTTCGCTCGGTAAGAATTTCTGACCTGGAAACCAAACCATTTGCACGAACTCCAAGGAGACGAATTTCAATAGGCATTTCTTTCAACAGCAGTTTCCAGGCATTCTCTAGAATTTGTTCATATCTATAAATGAAAAAACATTTTGTTACAGCTCTGGTCCGTACAGAAAAATCGGAACATTTGATTTTAAGAGTTAGTGTTTTTGCGTACATATCTTCTGCCTCTAAATCATCAGCGAGTAGCTTAGACACAGACTCACAAATTTTCCGAAGCTCTTCCAAGGAGGATGTAGGTTTGAAAGTTCTTTCTCTACTCATTCCTTTGCGACTTTCTGACTCACAAATAAAAGCAGGAGCGATTCCTAAGGCTGACTGAAGAAGAAATTCAAAGGTCTTCCTTCTCATACAGTGGAACAGAACACTTCGATGTGATATTATGTCCTGGATACAAAAGATATTCAACGAAGACAACAATTTTTCCGTAACTCGACCAACACCAGGAATCTTCCTGACAGAGAGAGGATTCAAAAAGTTCTGAATGCAAACCATGTCTGGTTGGACAATGGTCTGTCCATTTGGCTTATTTAAATCTGTTGCAATCTTGGCTATCATTGTATTGCTAGCAACTCCGGCACTGCAGGTTATACCCGTGTTTTCAAATATATTTTGGCGTATTTTCGATACAACATCTTCAACCACTCCACCTTGTGTTTTCAAGTATTCGGTGATATCAATGTAAGCTTCATCCATACTCATGTGGGCGCGGCTATCGAACTTATAAAGGAGAGAGGCAATTTGATTAGAGACTTGACAATATCTTTTAAAACGTGGTGGTACAATAACAAGCTGTGGACAAAGCTTCAACGCAATAAAACCAGGCATAGCACTTCGTACTCCATACTTCCTAGCCTAGTTTAAAGCTGAGTGTACAAAAAGCATGATAAATAGAACAAGTACAAACTTCATAGTTGGCTGTTGAAAGCATCGACGTGCTCCCAACTGCCATTGGAAGGCTTTTGAGACTTGGCTGATCAAGTTCTTCAACAGAAGCTTTGATTTTCAGAATGTTTAAGCAAGCAGAAAAACAAGGGAGAAAACTCACCGAAGAAGGCATCCATATCAAGATGTACAATGGTTCGCGAAAAGTCTCTTTCCTGTTCCCAAGAAGATATAAATTGTTCGTCGACAAACTTCTCTATCCTCTTTTTGTCCTGTTCAGACAAAGTGACCGCCAACTCAGTCACTTCAAGTATTCGTTTTTCCAATAGCTTCTCCTTTCTTTCCTCATTTTTGTAAAACTCTGTTCCTTTCGAAACGTCTACTATGACACGTGTTGCTTCTTCTTCGTTTACCGAGTCTAAACCAGCCTTGTGAGGGTTAAATCTAAGGCCAGTAGCAACCGATTGCATTTCTCCCAATCGAAAAATTTAAATGATACTCATTTTATATGAAGAATAATATGGAAGGATTTCACCTTCTTCCCTTTTGAAGGATAGAAAATGCTTCTTTGCTTTGTGTGAATTCTCCTCAAAGTATCCAAACAAGATTAAGACTCCTCAAGATTCCTATTGATGTCTAAATTGTTGAAAATTATGACGACATATAGTTCTATTCAACTATCTTTCGTATTCAGAATAACACAATTCTGCCTAAACTTGACGGTCAGCATTCTTTCGAAGAGAAGAAATAGCAAATGCCCAATCTGGACAGGAATTGTTCTGTCCCGGGATGTTTCTTTGGAGGTAGGTTTATTGGTTATGAGATATTCGGTATCCTAAAGCTGACATGTTTCAGAAAGTGGAGTTTTATTCCGTGGAATGAACTACAGCTAAGAAATGAGCGAAACTTGCAAGGTGACGTGTCACTCGTACCAGCTCTTTGGCGAGGTAACCCTGTTATGGTAAAGTTGGTCGAAAAAAATGTCGATACTGAGTCGGAACAAATGCTAAGAAACGAGATAATGATGGTGAAAACGTTATCTCACCCAAGTATTCCTTTATATTATGGTTGGGGAGAATCTGAGAAGGAATTATTTCTTGTCATGGAGTTGTTAAGGGGTGCTTCACTTGAGAAGGTTTGCGTCCATAAAGTCAGCATAAACACTAATGGATTGGATGATTTAGATGCGTAATACTTTGAAAGGGGATTATGCAAAGGTTGCGGAAATATTTTATCGTTGTGTTGAAGTGGTGGAGTATACTGTTCAGTTAGAGCGCTATTCGATGTTCTGAGTTACGTTAGATATCTGCATTCTAGAAATATCATCCACAGGGACTTGAAGCCCAGCAACTTTTTTGTTCTTGAAGGCGGTTGTAACATAAAAGTACTCGATTTTGGAGTTGCTAAAAGTTTTCGCGCAAACGCAACACTTACTGGTGATACTGGTAGCTATTGGTAGGTACTCTATATATCAATCTAAAACCCGAATAAAATCTTCGTTTTGTTCAGGTATATGGCTCCGGAGGTTATTTCTGATGGCTATGTTGAGAACGAAAAGCAGTATGATATGAAAGCTGATATATATTCTATGGGTATTATTCTGAATGAACTTCTTACTGGAGTGACGCCATATATAGAGTATCCAGATGCAACTCCTTGGCAAGTAAGCACAAACCCTTTTTGAGATACTTTTTTCAAGTTTTCAGATAGCAAACACTGTTTTGAGGCAAGGTTTACGGCCTCAACTGGTTGCTGATTGTCCCTGTTTAACGGTGAGGTGGCATGTTTGTTGTTGTTGTTGTTGGTCTAACTATTTTTTTATGTAAGGAATTTCAATCCCTGATTCAAGCCTGTTGGGTTGAAGATCCTAGAAATCGTCCAAATATTTCACAAGTTCGGATAGAGATGTTCGAAATTTTGAAGAGGATGGGTATTTCTGTGAAGGATTATAACAAGACCTCTTGTAATCTGCAGTAATTAGTGCAGAGGGACTTTAAATACTTGGAGAACGTGCCACTTATCAAATATGATGATATTCAGTGAATTGGGAAGATTAATCTTTGTTAAATTTTGAAAAGTCTTATACGAAGAACCCAAACGCAACTCTTGCTATTTACGAGAGTAATCATCTTTTTCACAACAAGGAATCTTCAAGTACTTGAGTTTCAAATACATTGAAAGATTTCTTGCAAGGATTATTTTACACAAAATGTGAACAACACTTATCCGCAATCACTATCATTTTTCACCTTTTAGAATTGTGTGGATGGAGCGACGGTTGATAGGATTGTACGAGGCACAGAACAAAATATTGCTGTTGTTCATAACCATTTGAAAACCTTGGTTTATCTTTAATCTGATGTTTAACGGAATAGAAGGTTTTTCTAGATAGTGTACTTTTTACAAGGAATGGAAATTTTGGACCAGGGCTGGATAAGGTTGAGCCGTAAATAAAACTCTTCATTGACACAGACAACTTTTCTACAACGGCTTCTGTATTTTTGTGGGTTCTTTTGAACAGTGAAGAACCTAACTTGTTAGAAGCCACAAATAAACATTCGACGACGATTGGGTGCGACGCAAGGCAAACCATGTCATTCGTTGCAAACGTGTCGAAACAAGCCTATCATTGGTGTGCACTATGGCGTTCTTTTTAACTCGAAAAAAACCCGTCAACACCTATTTCAGTTATTCTTGACAAGAAACGAACTGAAACAAAAAGGTTTATCAAACAAACACAAACTACATCTACTCATACTATTCTTCAACCCCATGCATTTTAAGATTCNGCTTCTTATTATAAGGGGAGGCCAATGGCTCACTACTGGTTGGAAGCCCAAACAATTTACGTATATTTCTAATGCCGCATTTCCAATGATAACGTGCTNTTTCTCCGAGACTATGTTCAAATACCATTCCCATTTGCTCTNAAGTATAACCTTTCGTCTCTGGCATAAAAAAGAATAAAAGCACCCATCCAACTGCAATAGCACCTGCATAAAAACCATATCCTCGCTGAGCTTTCNATTTTTGGAGCATATCAGGCCAGGAATAGGAAACCACAAAGTTGAAAAGATAATTGAAGAATGTAGTTNTTGCCATTCCTTGCGCACGTACGTAAAGTGGGAAGATCTCTGGACAATAAACCCATGGAACAGGACCATTGGCAGGAGAATATGCTGCAATAAAAATGAATACTGCCACCATAAAAAGACCAAAATTTNCCCATTTCGTTCCATAATAAGAAAACAGTGCCAACATTTGCATGGCACACATAATGGGAAATGTCCACAGCTGAAGAGACCGTCGTCCATATTTGTCAATGACCCAATATACAGGCAGAGTGAATACTGCATTAGTGAATCCGGCAATCNAACTAGCCAATACAGCCTTCTTGTCGGATATCCCAATCNAATCTGTAAACATATAGTCGACATAATACATAAAAACATTCNTTCCACAGAACTGTTGAAATAGCATTNATAGTATTCCAACAAATAGTTCTCTTCTTNGAGAAGGCACTGTAAGTAACTCTGCGTACAGATTCTTGTTTTCTGTCNTTCTTCGTTCCTCCTCTNCTGCCTTTCTAATGAGTACTNAATCTCTCNAAGCATGTTCTGAAGAAAGCCTAATAGCCAATAAAACCTTTTCTGCTTGCTCTNTTCTTCCTTTCTTGATAAGCCACCTTGGACTTTCTNCTTGAAATGGAACTGCAAATGATTCAATCNAGGCAGGTACCATAGTGGAACCCAACATCNATCTCCAGCCGATATCATCTNTGTTCNCAAATATCNCATCGACAATGTAACCTNTAAAGATTCCAGTTGCAACCATTTGTTGATATAAACTTGCAATCGCTCCTCTTNTTGCAGTTGGCACAGCCTCAGATAATAAAACAGGCACTGTACTCGAAATAATTCCCATTGAAACTCCCAACATGAGTCTGCC